GTCTCAGCAGAGAGGTTGGACTCAGTGACCCCAGAAGCCCCTTCCAATTCCTACAGTTCTATTGTTCTGTGATTCTGTAAGTCCAAATCATTTTACTTCTGCATAGATTTGCTAAAGTTAATCAAGATTAGTTAGGGTTAGCTAGTTTTGTTAATGTAAAGTTAATTTACATAATGAAATAAAATGCATTACTTTAATACATGTTCTCCAGATGAACAATTCAACCCTCTTCATCTGCTTGGCTTTGCTTTGGTTTCTTTTTCCTTCTTCCCTCCAAATGAGACAGTTCAGTTGACAGACATTGAGCAAATCTTCCCTCAGGTACAAAGGGGACCTCATCTGGCTTGCAGAGCAGGATTCACGTCTCCCACCTGGCTTCCTTTATGAGCAGAGCTACATGCAAAGCCGTTCCCTTCTTTTTTCCCAGAATTACTGAAGACAGCACGAGCAGAGGTTCCTACATTGGAGGAAACTAAGTAGCTGGATCATAGGGTCCCTAGCGGGAATTCTGTAACCCAAAGAGGTGTGACAGGATAACAGGGATGGTACCTCAGGTGTGCAGCCATCAGGTTGCAGGGCTGTGCTGTATCTACCTCCTGCTCTGCAAGCTACTGCATTCAGGCACCTGGGGTAAAAGACGTGGTGTTTCAGTCAGTGCTGCAGCATCCACTGCCAGAACATAACACCCATTCACTGGGCTGGAGAATGAGATCCTTGTGGATCTTGCTCGAGATTCACAGTCTTTGTCTGCATTTGCTAGCACCACAGAAAGCAGAGAAAGTGCATCTTGAAAATGACTCAGAATTGATTCCATCATCATGTGGTGTAATGATCTGGTTTGGCATCAAAGCAATTGACTGCATAACTGCATAAAAAAATTTCCACTGCATACATTTCATTTCACTATCAAAGCTGTAGCAATGCTTTTCTTCAGATTTTTCTTCACAGTTGTTGTTTTTATCAGTGCCTATGAACCAAATGCTACTTATTCGTGGAAAGGGAAATGAGTCCCCATTACTGCAACACAATTCAGGTCTCTGAAGGTTGCTTTGGATATTCGTACTTACAGAGGAAGAGATGTGTTCTTGTGTTTGAATTAGTAACTGTGCATAGTGTTAACAGTGTTCTCAAGAAAAGGAAGAGTCCTCTTTTCTCACCAAATAAAATGCAAGTTTTCATCATCTTGTACAAATAGGATATTTTCTTTAACTCAAATTTTCAGTGGAAATTATGATTCATGAGTTATTATTCAACATGGGCAGCCATTTTCACTGGTGCGTCTGTTTTCCGGTAAAGAACACATCTTTTCTCTAAATGGAAAGATTACCAACACACTTAGCAGAAAAGACAGGGCTTCTTTCATCTAAGTCAGAGTCCTGATGGAGTCGAAGTTTCCTTTAGCTTTTGAAGCTGGTGTGACAGATGTTGTGGCAGGAAGTGCTTTGTACCTCTTTGCCTTTGCTGTATGAAAAGACGATTCAGAAAAGGTGACTCCTCGGCTTGAGGGAGTTTCAGAAGTGCTCATCAGCAGCTCCTGCATTGCTCCATGCTGCACCTGGTCCAGACTACTCCTGCTGCAGCCATACCCACTGTGATGGCACAGCCCTGGCAGGGGAAACAGGCCCTGCTAGTGCAGGGCAGTGTCCCATCCCACCAGTCCTCTGTGCAGACATGGAGCCCCAGGACAGGGGGTGTTTCACTGAATATATATGCGGTGCTTGGAAAGAGATTCCTGTTCACCACCAGATGCATGATTCAATCAGTCCCTTAGCAGTAAGGCATGTCTTTCTGTGACCTTCTTTCAAACTTCTGTGAGTCTAGACTTCTTAGAGGTACAGGTACAAAAAGCAAAGTAAAATGATATCCTAACCAAAAAGCCACAGCCCTTTTCCAAATAACATGTGCAAAAATATACAGTTGGTTTTCAATATGCTCTTGAACCTCAAGGTTCACTCTAAATATCAGCATTACTGATTGGAAGCAAAGGTATTTTTTGTTCTGACAGTATGTCCTGAGAGTTGTTTGCTTTGTTCTGTTGCAGTCCACAGAAGTCACTGCTTGTCTAAGGTTTTGTCATACAACTCGATGTATGTCAGGCTTAATTTTTCAGGACAACCGTAGGGCAGCAAATATACCTTCCATCTTGGCAGGATGAAAGCAATACCGGCTTGTAAGTCTTTGCTCAATCCAGGCCTTAAGTCCTTGCCTCAAATTTGAGATGGCAACAGAATATGCAAGATTCACAAAAGCTAAAGCTGAAATATGGTGGGTGATGGACTTGCCAACAGTATACTAAAAATTGGGAGAATTGATGCAGGGTTTAATATATAGAAGATGTACAATTTTTCAAAGTCGTTAATGCTTGCAGTTTTTAAAAAATGATGATGCTTGACATCAGCTAAATCTTTCCTGTTGATAATCAGAGCTGATTCATCTTTTAAAAATTGATCTCACGCCATACAAGATCTTATTACTCCCAAGAGGAATTAAATAGCTAAGGCACACTCATTTAGATTAAGTTCACCCTCTGACCTCTTCTTCATATCTCCAGTTCATACCTGTCCAACTCTTTTTGCCAGAAAAACTGTTTAATCCTTCCTATTCCTCGCTCTAGCAAACCCTCAATATTGATTTGAACTCATAACCATAGAACATAAATACAAATCAAAATTTAATCTGTAAGGGAAATGGGAAATTTTTATGACAGTGAGTAGACTGTTTTAGCAGTGAAGGATTGGACAACTCAAGGGACTTAGATTTATGGAGTGTTTCACAGACTCACAGAATCAGAGGGGCAGAAAGGAACTCCTGGAGATCATCTAGTCCAACCCCCTGCTAAATCAGGTTCCGTGTAGTAGATTGCAGAGGAAAGCATCCAGGTGGATTTTGAATATCTCTAGAGAATGAGACTTCACAATCTTTCTGGGCAGCCTGTTCCAGTTCTCTATCACCCTCACAGTAAAGAAGTTCTTTCTCAAGTTGATATAGAACTTCCCACATTCTAGTTTTTGCCCGTTGTTCTGTCTCTGCACACCAGTGAAAAGAGTTTCATTGCAGTTAAAGTCAAACCAAAAGCAAAGAGGTACAACTCGCAGTAAATATTGTATGAGCAGAAGTCCCCAGTAAGCGATTGGATTTATTTTTAACTAAGAAATTTTAGTAACCTGTACTTTTTCTGCTTTTATTATTGATATGTTATTGCACATGGCAAGTAACAGATTAATGTATGTAATGAACTCTCCACATGCCAAACACTTCACCAGTAACAGGGAATGCATATCTGGAGCTTTGATCTCTGTTCTGATGATTTGTTTGCTTTCCCCTCATTCCAGAGCTCCTTTTCCCTTAGCCATAAATAAACTCTTTAAAATCTGTAAGAAATATGACAGAATTTAAATCTACATGAACTTTGAAGATAATGAAATACCCATGATAAGGGAAAAAGGTCCGCATCAATTCACAATGTCATTTCTTCCACAGTGTTATGGTAGTTTTGTAGTGGTACAAAACTGCAATCTTGAATTCAATCATTAAAATCCAAGAGCATATAGATTTGTGTTCATAATTCAGGCTAGAAGGTAAACTTACAAAATATATATCGAGATTTGGATTTCAAATTACCTCAAAATATGCAGGTGTTCAAATTATGAGATTCTTGTCATTTCTCCATACTTAAATTTTGGAGTAGCTGTGGTTGCCACCCGTATCTTTCACCTGTTCACAGTAGTTTGTATTGCCATTTTATCAAGATTAGGTTCTCTTGAGCTTGCTCAGATTGTAAATTTTTATTCCTAATCTTAGCCTACAATTAGTCCTTTGCCATACAACTCTATTGGATTTACTGATTTACCGACTTCAGACAGTCCACACAGGCAGTGGCTGGGAGGATGTAAAGGGAATTACTGACTTTAAATACGTTTGACAATTTATAACAAGGATAGATCAGAAAGGATGAAAGCCTCTTAGTGATCCTGGATCTTGTTACCCAAATGATAGAAACTGATCCTTAGTGTACATGTTTTTGAGAGACCTGGAATAGCCCTAAGCAAAATCCTTTTTAAATTCTGTTCACTGTAAAAAATGAAGATGGAGAGACCTAGGTTGTAGAACTCCCTTCATGGACTGCTGCACAACTGGAAAATTACCATTACTATCCTAAACTTTTACATTGCAAACAAAGGAAGCAGGTTGAGGTTGCTTCTTAGTAGGTTATTTCCCCACCCCCAAACTCTCATTTCCTGGAGGTTGTCTGGATGTTACTAATGTTTCTGCTTGTAAGTGGATTTTGTACAAGAGTTGGCTGAAATATTTCCATTTGATCTTTTTTTTTTCCTGCTAAAATTATATCTTCCCAAAACTGGGAGTTTCCAAAAAGAGTTTTGACTTTTTGAGTTGCTGGCCTATGAGAATATTGGACTTTTTGTTTATTCTTCTTGAATCATGTTTTCTTCTCTTTTATTTTAGTTCTTTTTGGTCACTCAGTCTGTAAACACAGCTCATGCTGTTTTTTTCACAGATTGTTTCTCATTCTGCTCTTATTCATTTTCTTCCCTCTCCTTTTAATTTGCACTGAAGTGGCAGAAAGAAACTGAAAAATGTCCCAAAATATTCCTGAATATTTCTCTGTATAGCATAAAGGATTAAAAGAAATGAAAAACAAAGGCAAGAAGAAAAAAGACATTTTCATGAAAAAAAAAACAAACAGAAACTAACCAGTCAAAAACAGCGTAATTACCTCATTGCACGGAAACAGCTCCAAATTCTTGGTTTTCACTTTTTTTTAAATCTTTTTTTTTTCATTTTTTCCTCTTCTTATGTTTCCCATTATGGTTATAAACTGCCCCTACTATCTCCCTCTTGAACTGTGGAGGTTGGAAAGCCTATTTCTTTGTATGACATGTTTGCACCCATTATGTTTCCTAATGATACATGGTATAACAAACAAAAGAAGTTCTATTAAGAATTAAAAAACAGTGACGAATACTGAGACTTCCCAAAGCTTTGTTACAGTGGATTTAATCCATTTTTCTTTCTAGAGTACAACATATTTTGACATATCTTTTTCACAGCAGCATCCCAAGGCAAACCTCAGTTTTTCCATTCTTTCAGAAATTCTTTAGTCCATGAATTTCTTTCTCAGTCTGGTTGGAAGTTCCAGGGAGTAAGATTTCTCTGTTACACAGTATTTTATATCAAGCATTTATCATAAGCAATAGAGGTTATTATTCACTGATAATTTTCAAATCCAATTTTTTTACCAGTGATTTTCAAAATATTGAAACAATGTATTTGTGGAGGATAGTTTTGTTTGTTAGGGAGCTTAAGAAAACTGGCAAAATTATGTGATGGAACAACAGAAAAGAATGTTACCCAGCATGCCAGGCTGCCCCTCTGCATCTGTACCTAGGAGCTGGTTGTCTTAGTGGATTAGCTCCTGCTAAATTGGCAGTCCTCACTTCTTTCAGTACCTTTCTCGTTTTCACTTTTCTTAATGTCACAGTGACCAATCTGTACCTTTTCTCTGCAATACCTCTATGTATTCAGAGTTCTGTTGAGGAAAACTCTGTTCTTGACATACCAGCTTACTTTCTTTCCATGCCTGATGATCCCTGTTTACCCTATCAAATTTGAAACCAGCCTTCCATTTATCAGACAAAGAGCATTGTATCCTCTGACCAAGTATTTGTTTTGCCAAATAATTACAAAGAGACTCGACAGTGCGCTGCTCTGCTTCATGCAGCCAAATGTTAGCAATATATTCAGGTAGGATTCCCAGTTGGTCATTTATGGTCCAGAGTTTTGATAGATTTCACAAATAGAGTGAAGGATTGATCATTTAATTCATTTACTCATTCATTCAATTATCTCATTCATATTATAGGCTCTGAGCAATCCGCTTGTCAAGTAACCCCTAAATTCACTAGGGAAGTGGTAGATAGTTGCAAAGCAGAGTCCATGAATACACTGGTTTTGTGGACTCCAGAATTTAATTAAATAAGAGGCCCTCTAATGTACAAATGGCAAAGATGTACAGACAACACAAATACGAAAAATGCAGCTGCGTATACTTGAGGTTCTGAGTCATAGTAAAGTCTCTGCTGTGCTTTCTCAGGTTTTGTTTCCCTGCTATCTCACAGTTTGCAGGAGAATGTGTGCATACTGCTCACTCCTAGCGTGGTGCCAGGAAGTTTGACAGCAAATATTAGGATGAATTCATGGCATCATAGATTAGCCCTAACAAAAGGGCTTGTGCAATGCGCTGGCATTGGCATTGGAGGTAGTCTTTTTCTTTTGTTCCCAGTGGAAAGTTTACCATAGAGACCGTAGAAAATAGAAGTTCTCTCTGTTGCGGCACTACGGGAATCTACTCTTAGGCAAACACAACATTTTCTTCAGCTAAAAAAAGCTGACATCTTTAACACATTGTTAGCACTTCATGCACAAGTCAGTGGATCAGGAAGTGTGCCAGTTAACACACAAGGTGAGAGCAAAACAGTTTAGAACAATACTAGTACTAGATATCAGTATCACGACTGAGCACAGGGCCATCATAAGAGCTCAGGGAGGCAGAGGAAGGTGAGGAAATGCTGATTTCCTGTTATCGAGGTTCAAGTAGCTAGAAACTTCTGCTGCCAAAATTTCTATGCCATAAGCAACTTAAACCTGGAAGAGAAATGGAGAATAAGTTAGCTGCAAGTCGTGTATATTTGAATCAGTCCAATCTCTGCTTCTGTTCTCTATCCAAACTGTTTGTGGCTACTGACAGTGTTTGAGTAGTTAGGAAATTACTCATTCCTTACAGATTATTTGCTCCCAACCAGTAACCCTGAGCAAATCTTAGCAAATCACTTCCTCAGAGAGATCTTGGGTATCGCACAGTATCTGAATAATCTGAATGGAACAGTATACATCCCTTCCTCATGCATAAGATCATTATGCACTAATGTGAAGCAATTGCATTTCTAGGAATCAGCCCACCATTCTGATTCAAAAGCTTTCCAAAGATTTTGCTTTCTTTTCCTTTTCCTGCTACATGGCAGCAAAAACTACATTAACAAGGTACTGTGCCACCCCCTACCACCCATCTACCTGTCTAGAATCAATGGGAGACACAGCAAGCTGTTCTTTCCTTCCCAGATAAAACTTTGCAACAAATGCAAGCAAAGTTGAAGCACTTGCAGGCTTAATACAACCTCAGATTCTTGGTTTTTTAGCTGCATTCACTGCTGCCATGGGCATGTATTCACTGTTGTACTCATGGGAGCTGGATTCACACTGCTGATTCTGCAAACAGAGAGAAAATGCCATGAATTTAATTTGTGGCCACTAACCTCCACCACTCCTGCTGTTGTTCTTTGAAGAGGGCAGTTAATCTGACTGTTTTCAGTGGAAATAGTAAAACCTGAATAGACAGGCACCAAGGTAGAAAACTTGGGATAGAACAAACTAAAGATGAAAAGCATACACCATCCAGAAAAATGACTAATGTCCCTGATCTCCTTTCTTTCCTGAGCTGACTGGTTCTTTGTTTTAATAGTTTTGCTCCAGAACAGAGCTGGAATTTCTTCACTGATGATTTGTTTTCCCCTCTTGAAGAAAACAATCAGGTGAATTGCTTACCAAAGTAATTCTGCTGACCCGTGCAGCTTTTTTCCTCTTTTCTGTGATTCCCAACCCCTAAATCAATAGACAATTCTGTCTTAGAAAAATTAAATCTGAGCTGCTGTCATCGGTGACTGAATTCCAGTGGTAAATTAACAACTGCGTCTCTGTCAAAAAATACATTACTCGCTGAGTTTGTGCCTGTCCCACTCTCTAAATCTTATAAAATGAAGTTCCCTATCCGTGACCTCAATGAAGGACGGAATCTTATGGACTTCCTTACCTTGTTCCTTAAGCGGCAGGCTACTACACAGCAAACACATGAAATCAGGGCAAATGCAATCAGGCCAATAATTATCCATGACGTGATTCCTTGTGAAAAGCAGTCTTCCTTATCTGGAGATAAAGAGGCAAACAAGTCATTGCTGAAAATCAGCACCGTATTTTCTCCTATAGATGACTTTTCAAATTATTTCCCCTTCTTTCTTTCATATCTGATGAAACAGACAAAGCGTGTCAGTAGAAGGATTTCCCTGAGTTGAAAAGCTGCCTTGGAAAACTGTGTATAGCAGTAAAAAGAACACTGTTGTTTTCCAGAAGGAGAGGTGAAACCCTAACTTTTGGTGCAGAAGGCTAAAAGAGTAGATTGAAAAGAAACCAAGGCAGACTTTAGAATGTGATGGTATTTCAGGTTTGGAAATGTGAACAAGGTGTATGCTTACATTCAGAAAGAAACACGGATGATATAAAAGATGGCCTGCTCCAAAGAAGAGGGGCCTTTGACATTCATGTTTGGATAGAAAGGCAAACTGGGGGGCAGAAGATGAACCTTGCTCAGGTCTGGGAGAAAATACAATAGGACATGAAACAAGCAGCAATAGCTACGAGGGTCCATCTATGAGGACAAACAGGAATTGACAGCATCGGGAAACACTGCTGACAAAAAAAGGATGTCACAGCTTAATTCTGAGATCAACATGTTTTAAGTGCAGAGGGGGATAGTAGATCATTTGACTCAACCACGTGATGTTAGCCTCAGTTTTTCAGCTTCTATCTTCGTTTATACATGATGTTGAGAAATGGGAAATGATGGAGAGAGGACAGAAGACAGTACAGTACCGCTATTCATCTATATGGAAAACTAAGAAAAGGAGAAAATAAAACTAACTGTTTCAACTTAATATACTAAAAAGCCACCAAATGAAAGGTCATTCAAAATTAATGTATGTGTAAGTCTCTTGGAGTTAGTCCAAGTCCTTTTCTATGTAACTTGGGCGTCCCCAGCAAATATGCAGAATTCAGCATAGGCTGCAAACCTGCCAAGTAGGACAAACAAATACAGGGAGGACCTGTTGAGCTCTCAATCAATACTACTCCACTGCCACCAGTTCCTTACTGAGTATTCTCTGTTCTCTTGAAACTGTCTGTGCATACTTTAGTCACATTTTTCACTGCTGCTTTCACTAATCTATGTTTATTGTCTACTCATCAGAAACTGAAATGAGGGGAGAAGGAAAGTAAACTTACCTTGGATGTACAAATAGGTTTCTTTCAAGTGGCAGTCTATGTAAGGGGGGGGTAATAAACTCTCCAGGCAGCAGGTGTAAGTGTCAATGTGTTTTCTGTCCAGATTTGTCAGAATGAAGGTGGTGCTGGTATTCGAATGCTCTGCCTGGCAGTAGGTGACGTTACTCTTTGGGACAGCTTTATTCTTACTCACATGGAGTGCACAGATTGCCTTCTTTTCATGCCCTTTGAGGAGGGTCATGCTGAACTCACTCACATTTTTGGGATTTTGGAATATTAACTTGAATTTTCCATCTTCAAATTTTACTATTCCCTGGGGGTCCGAGACCTGAAACTTATCTGAAAATATGAGAACAGTTAAGTGCAATCACTCAAACAGCAACAAAGAAATTCTCAAAGACGTTAAGAAACTCATTAAAATAAAGCAAGTGAACTGTATGATAGGAGCTTAAAGTACTCAGAACAATCTGGCTTTGCAAAGCAGCCCATATCATGAGACACCAGTGCATCATTCAGGTCATGTCATACACTACTGAGAAAATAAATGAGATTAACAGCTGGACTGCTATGTGCTATAAGGCTGGACAGGCAGAGTCAGTGACTTATTTGATAATGTTTAAAGGTCTCCTTCGACCAAAGAATGTGTGGTCATATAATCCCTGCCTCAGTCCTGTCCTATTTGTAGATAAAACATGACAAGATGAAGATGATATTTTTTTCTGGTTTAGGGTTCGTAATCAGAACCCTAATGCTGTAGCTGAAAACATGAAATAGGATTTGAACCCCAAAATTCTACATATGATGCCTTTACCACAAGATTTTCCTTTTGAGATACTGGTTTGAGACATGCCATAAGGTTTAAACACATTTTCTTAGATGGCTATATGACCTTTATCACCAACATGATGAGAGAAGTAGAGAACAAATATGACTGTGTACATACATTCACACGCAATTCAAAAATCATATTTGACCTTCTCAAAAACATTGTCAGAAAACATTGACAGATGTTGTGCAACTCTCTAATTCTGCAGAATGTTTCTAATTTGATTTTCTTGGAAAAGAAAAAATGAACTAATTGAGGACCTCTTGGTATCTGACTTTTTTATAACCAACAATCAGTAGCATGGGAATACTGTCAGAAAAAAAAAGTCAAAGTGTGCTACTAAAAAAAAGACAATCTACTTCTTCGAGGTCAGTCTTTCTTGACCTAGAAAGGCATTTAAACCATAAATCAAATTATGCAAATATCTTACCTATATTTTTGCACAACCTTGATGAGCAGGTATCAGCTCCTGAAAAATACAAAATTGTTGCCTTTTTAAAATTCAAGAAGAGAGATGCAGGAACAAAAGCTGAGCCATTCAATATTAAGATGCCAAAGTTATATGCTAGTGTTCGTACCTGTGTCATAAGCCTATCTGATCTTGTTTCAGTGCTACTTTGTAAAATCCCATGGTACAATAAAATCTCCAAGTGTAAAAATTAGTGTAAAAAAAAATGAGTTGAGCAGGAATTAATATTGATAACATATGTAACACTTAGAAATTCATAAAACACTTCTGTAGAAGCAATAGGAGTACTTAATAAATCATAACTGAGATGAGAGTAAAATTTCCCCAAAGATACTGAGAAAATCCACCCAAAATTAAAAAGCATACTGTTGTTTTCTCACAAATCCAGCGTTGCCAATAAGCTTACATTATACTTTGCTTCCAGACCTTAGTGACTTCCCACTTCATTGTATGTTTTTTCTGTTCCTCCCGCACCTCAACATTGCATCAAAACATCTTGTGGTACATGCTAGATGAATACCTATTTGGAAGGTGCTACCAGATAAACAGCAAGAAAATATCCAAGCAGTGCATAGAGCTTCGTTCTTTTTTCAACAGAAAACTTATTTCATTCATGATTATCAAGCTGCGTTCGGTCCATCATGCTTAGGCATGGCACACTTTTAATAATTATTCTGGACTTTTTTGAGTTTCGGCCTGCATCACCATCTACCATGGAAACACCGAGAATTTTCTGTCTATATTGGTGACATGTACTACTTTGAAATACTTTGTTTGTCAGCAGTAGGCATAGCAGAGCCTAGCAGTGTTTCATTTAGACTTTTTCACAATGCTATAAAGCTAGAGGTTTGTGTCATACACAGACAGGTGTAAACTTGTGAAACTTATATCTGTTTTTCCTGTCTTCTGGTTGTTTAAGTTCTTCAGAAGTTGGTTACATTGAAATACACTCTATATTAGGATTTTATCATGCTAAGGAAATAGTGGGCAAATGCTTGTGTATAAAGATTTTGATACACCATCATATCTTGTTACTGCTACATGGTAGTGTAGGTCCGCACAGAAGCATTTTACTGCTGTACTGGGTATTGCACTGATTACACAGCATAAATAATCCTTTTCCCAGGACACCTGTAATCTAAGACATCCAGCCTGCATATGCACAGGGACAGAAGATTACTGTCATTCATGTACTGTCGTATGTTCTCAGTTCTCTTTCTGAACTGGGATAATCCTTTAGTGTCCATGCTTTTTTCTGCTTTGAATTCTTGTTTCCTGATTATCACCACTGGCAAGGACATTGCAAAGAATGGTTGTTTAAAATATTTTTACTGTGATGCAAAGATAACGGACTTCTGGAAGATGCTTTTTGGTGCGCAATAGTTGGAAAGCAATACAAACTGTTATCCCTTTTTGATTGATTCACTCTCTTCCCAGTTATCACTTTCTTCCCTGGCCTACTGTGCACAGCCAGTGACCCTGTGCCAAACAGCAACAGTTCCAATATCTGTACCTCTTTCAGGACTTAAATGTGTGATAACAGACAAGGTAACCTGTACTGCTAGTGTGAAGATAAGATGGAAAAAGCACAAAACTTGTCAAACAACACTGAAACATACGCCTAAACACAATAAAGGCTCAGATACAGACCGTTTAAGCCCTCAGAGTAGTATACAGCCTGAGAAGCTGGGAGCAAAGGTCAAAGAAGGAAACAGTTCTCGGTGACTTGTATATTGAGTAGTGAAAGAAAACAGCTGCTATGAGAACAACATTTGAAATGAAGGTGTTTTCAAACACTATGTAGTTTCAGTGTACTGATGTTTGATAACATATACCTTTAAAATTAGATCCAACAGCAGACTAATTGTTTAGGCACAAAAAGAAAGCAGAAAGTGGATTGATACAGCAGAAGCAGAGAGCGTGGTGTGTGTGTAAACTGGCCAGATATCACTGGTGGTTGAGGCTTCTGCGTTTACCACTGCTAGAGGAGAAGGAGAGGGAGAGGGCGAGTTGAGAGGGAAGGAGAGAGAGATGCAGAGGCAGAGGCAGAGGGAGAGGGAGCAGGTGCTCCTGGCTAGACCCAGGGCTAGGCACTCAGAGTCCAGCAGTACCACAGGCCCCCAACTACTCCGCTCACAGCAACAGCTTGGATTTCCATTCCTCTGGTTGCCTCTGAGAACAGTTTAATTCTGCTGTTGGCTAATGAAATTGCCCTTTCATACTGGGCGGTTTGAAATCTTTGTTAGAGATTGTGGTTTTAATCCTTGTTTTTAATGGAAAAGGGCAGGGAGAGGTGAGTTCATGTGACCTTGCGGCAAGCTGAAAGATCATCTTGCATCCTCTCAGGCCCAGAAGCTGTAACTGGCTATTTTCAAGAAAGTCTCAGTAATGTGTTTCTGTGATTGAGCATTCCAGAAAATGTGATGCGATTAGTATTCTTCTGAAACAACTGACCATACAGAAGAGTGTGTTTAGCATAGTATTAAGGCAGCACATTTTAAAATGAGATTAGCAATGCCTGAGATTAAAACACAAAATTATCTACATGGATAAACACAACAAGTGAGGTTTGATATGAATTTCCAGCTCACTAGCTATTCTGCATCAGTCTTGATGTGAATTCTCTCTCTCTTTGCATACTAAAATGTAGCTTATTCCTCCTCCCAACAGCTGACTGCCGTTCTCCTGTGCTCGTTTATATAAGTTCATTCCTAGGGTAATCCTACGGACCCTGTGGGTAATGGCCAGACACATTTGCAATGTCATTTGTCAAGCCACTATTGGAGTAAATGTACATTTAGAGGAATGGAGCATAGGACATGGAGGTTAAAGAGTATGGTAACATTGAGGGATTTACTCATAACACCCTCCAAATATTAAAAAAAAAAAGTGAATAAAATGCTACATCATGTTATAGTTGAAAATGAACAGAAGAACCTCACTGCTCAGTAGTAAAACTACTTGCATTTGGCCATTTATTTTTCATAAAACAACGGATTCAATTGTAATACAAGGAGTGCCTTAGCTTCAGCTGGGAAGAAATAGTTTTCTTCAGAGTGTTTGGTATGGCACTATGTTTTTAATTCTGGGAGGAAAACAATGTAGTTAACACACCGGTGTTCATAGCTGCTACTAAGCATTGCTATACAGAGCAGAGAATGCAGTACATTCTCAGAGAAGGGTCCAAGCAGTTGGGAGGGAATAGAATTAGGACAGTTGACTCAAGCTGTCCAAAGGGATATTCCAATTCCATACCATATGACATCGTGCAGAAGGAGTTCTGAAGGAGGTGGAAGTTCACCTGGTTCTCTTCTGCTGCTCAAGGGGCTAGCTGGGCATCGGTCAGATGGTGGTGACAATCACTTGTGCATCATTTGTTATATACACTCACACATACAGTCATAACTATTATCCTTTTCCTTTTCTCTATCTTAGTAATTAGTTTTATCTCAACCCGTGAGTTCTACCTTTTTTTCCCTGATTCTCCCCCCAGTCTCACGGGGAAGGAGGAGAGAGAGCGAACAACTGTGGTGCTGAGCCACCTGCAGGGTTAAACCACAACAAGGAATTTGAGATCAGAAGAAACAAATCTTTCATTGATATTATAGAAGAGTCACACTGGTGCTATGTAGAGCTGTTCCTAGCTCACCTCATTTAAAGCAGATCATGTGGTCAAGTGAATCCAGAGAATGAACATGTATAGGAGAGTAACATCTTGTTACATTAAACTATGACAGTGTGTGCCTATGTGCATATGCACCCACATATACAGTTGCATATACATAGTATATGCATACTTACAGCCATGTAAATTTCTATAAGAGGTTACCTGGATAACAGATACATCCATTTCATTTGCTTAAATAGACTTACTTTCATCTTTACTGCTGTGGAGAATACTTTGGCAGAAGCTTTGAAATTTCTATGATGATGGTGCTTGGACATGGAAGCCACAGAAAGGCAGGTTATTTTCATTTTAATGGTACTGCAACTTTGAGCTTTCTCACTGCTCTTTGGCAGACCCAATGCTATCTGCAAATATAAAGATCCACTCTTTGTTTTGGTCATAACAGATTAATTTTAAAACATGAATTTTAGGGTAGGAGAATAGAATAGAGTATTCTTGCTTGGTTTACTTGCATTTTGTTTTACCTGCCCCAGCTTTCAGAAAGCTAATTATCTGATTAAAAGAACAAGCATAATTTCACTTGAATGTGTTTGCCTCTGAAAATGATCAAGTATGGTGCAGACTCAGCTTTTAAAACAAGCACTTCTACTACGTTGTTACTAAACACATAATGGAACTGCACGCTGTTTTTACAGTTTTGTTTATATCATTTGTATATTGTTTTATTTTATACAGCTATAGTTTTTTAAACTTTCGAGGAAAGATAACACTGTCAATTCAGTGTAATCAGTCATAAACCTGAAATTAACATGCTCCTATCATTTGAGAATCAGAGATTAAGAGAGGAAAGCAGTGCTTCAGGGCAAAACTAGTAACAGCCAAAATTACTCAAAGAAACTATCATCTGAATTATTCTTATGGTAGAAGATCTGTTGTGAAATATGGAAACGGTATTAAAATATACCACCAGCACAGGAGCCATTGCTGGTGCTATTTCAGACATCCTTCTGGGAAATGACCATTGTTTCCTCCTGACAGCCAGAGATCTGTGGGTAAACAGCGGTAATGCTTTGCAAATGTTGGCCTGCAAAAGCTCACGTACAACATTTCAGAGCCAACAGCCTCATATGCTGTGGAGTCCTACAGCTCCATATTCTGAAATCCTAATGCCAGTGTTCATCTGTGTAAGAGACTTCATGCTCTTACACTTCCTTGATCACAGTTGGGTTACCAAATTACACAGTACACATATACGCACTTATATATCACCTTCTGTGAGCTATTTACATTGAAATCAAAATCCACAGATCAGAAATAAAGCTTGCTAAAACTACACAAATAAACACCCTCATAAGTTACTCTGTTTTTACTCCCAAAAATCTGCCACAATTCCAGAACCCTAACTCACTCCCTAAATGAGGGTATAGTGCTAATGTGTATTACACCAAGCTCATGTTTTACAGTTCTTTTCTTTTTACTAATAACAATAATAATTAGTACTTGTTATGCCAAAAGCACTGTAAGGAAAAAAAATGTGAGAAATACCATTCATCACATTTGGAAGAGATTGGAAACAATCTCTTTCTCCTGCCATCTCCTCTTACCAGGCCCTGCCCCAAGTTGTATCCTCTGTGTTGGAAGGAAGAGAGAAAGAAGGGGAAAATGCCAGTATCAAGTAGAAAATTATTTCACCCTTAGAATTGCAGCCTACTTCTTCCTACAGGAAATCGCATTCTAGGTGGCTCCAGCCACATGTAGAAGCATTCTGGTCAAGAACAGCTGCTAAATTGACTACCTGAGAAATTGAGAGGATTTTTTAGTTGATAGATTTCAAGATAATTTTTCAGAGAGAAGAAAATACAACAGCTCGTGTCCCTTTAGAGATACTTGCCACAATCTTCCTTCCCTGTGAATTAACCCGATTTTCTGATTTTTTATAGCACGTATAATATCATGCTGGCCATGATATACATGGGTTTCAGAGAGGCCATGGATAAATGTGACCTCTGGTATTTTACTTTGTTTAGCTGTGATAAAACACTGAACTCTGCAAAATGCAAACATCAATGCAACATTGCAACATCCATGTTTATAGCTGGATGAGATCAACACCATCACCCTGCCTCTTAAACACAGCTTTGGAAGAGCTACACCTCCTTTTAAGTCATTCCACATTTCAAGCCTGCATCAGAATGATCTCATCCACTCTTGCATACAAGAGACATTTTTCACAGTACAAAAATTCCCTGCCTGAACATGACTGCAATTAATATCAATAACTTAGCTTTTGTCATTAAGCTATTTGTTGTCATGCTGCTGTAAGACTTTGTGCCCAGCAATGGAAGCTGACTAGAACACTACAGTCTAAACAGCTAGAGGATAACACTGAGCAGATGAGCTGAAGAATACGAACAATGAAAACTTGTACTTCTTTGTTTCAGCCTAAACGCCCTGCGCTAGCAAGAATTCTATTCCTACCAGCTCTAGCGATCTTAAAGTCGAGAGCGGTCTTTTTGCAGCTGTTTCCCTTAATTATTGTAATTTCTCCAACTCCTTGCTATTACATCTCATTTACTCTCTCCCTTCACTTGGTAGGTTATATTCCATAGAAACATCACTACAAGGAGAATAATCCAAAATACGACTTACCACACAAGGCTTCAAACTGAAAGCAGAAGAGATAGAAAGTTACTGCAACTGTCTTCATGCTTGCCTGACACAGAGGCATCAGCTTTCTGTCTGCTGTGAACATGAAGAAGAATTCATGGGTAGAAAAGGAAGTGGTTTGTGGGCAATGGGGGAAATTATATGATAATCAGAAGGACCTTTTTATTTAACCCCTGACTACGTTACAGCTATGTCAGCATTAGCTGTCGCCCACACCTGTGGAGTTTACTGCTTATTTTTTTTCCTACCTCATGGCTTGCTGTCACAGACAGGAAGATGAAAGATATTCTTATATTACCTTTGATGTCCACTTCCGCAAATGTTACTTCTGGTTAAATCTGTCACGATAGATGTTGCTGTCATCCCTGGCACGCTTCCTGCAGATAGCCACTGATCAGAGACTTCTACCTTAAGTTAGCTTACAGTATGTGTGTGTTTGCTTGCTGCTGGTGGCCAGGCTTCTCCCATCAAAACTGGTGGTAATGCTCCACGTAGTAGCTGATATCCAGTAAGGCAGGAGGCTTCTCTTGGTCCCAGGCCTGGAATTTGGTGGAAGAACAGAGCTGGGTCGCAAGAAGAATTCATTCATCCCTGTGGCTTCTTGGAGGCTCACTCGTGTTGGACTTCCACCCTGAAGTTCAGGCTTGCTCTGTGCAGACATGAGAAACTTTTGAAAGGACTAACTCATTGCCCCAGGGCCTTAGGTCAGAAGCTTCTCTCCCTCCCTCTCCCTGCTTTTGTGCTATGCACTGTATTCTTGCCTGTGATCCATCTGTATCCAGGAAATGCTTTAGGACCCTCTAGGGTAAAATATTCTACAACCATTTAGAACTGGCTATTTATTATGTTTGTAATACCAATTTTAGGGCAGGTAACATGTTGGAAAAATAGTTTCTAAATTATGTTTAATAAATTAGATGCATTTAGCATTCCTGACTGTCATACATATGCCAGTGAACGCAAAAGAGTAATTCTGGTGCCTGAGGTTGCTGTCTTTTAATGCTCACACAGATCTTTGCAAATACCTGCAAATCTTTGTCTTTTCTTAAATGAAAATCAGAGCTAAGTCAGAGTCAAGTAAGGATTTGATCTAAATTTTCAGCTTGGGTCTCTGAAACCAATTTCAAAAAATTCTAACTACAGAAAGTTTCTGCAGTATACTTTTAATTTTGAAGCTAAAGAGCAGTATATAAAGATTCAAAGAATGGTAAAACTAGAGAAATATATATCTCACCCCTTAACTTTGCCAAGGAAGGTGCCAGGTAGGACCACCTTTCCTATCCCTGAAAACAACTTATGAGAAGTCCTAAAATAGCAGAGGACCCTTCTCCTGGGACAGGACTTTTATTGCCCCTCAAGTAAGCCTGAGGCAAGCAGCCAGAGAGACTGATAATTAATGAAAAGAACTTCCACTGATGCACAATGAAGGGAGGAAGAGAATAAGGTGTGAAGTGCCTCCACCAGTACCTCTGGGTGAGCTTGCTGGCAGTGTAGCAGTGTTATGCTACAAAGCATAACACCAGCTGGGAGGGCCAGTATAGGTGCAGATTAAAATATCCATCTGAGCAAAATTTTAGCTATTTTCTTCTGTAAAAACAAACTTTAAAATAAATCAGGGTTGCTAGGATCCAAAACTATGATGCCTTTCTTCAAAATTTAACATTTTGCCAGGAAAATCATTTTGATAGTGATTTTTTTTTTAAACCAAAACGCTGTTCTGGTACAGCTCACTTCTGCCCTCCTTTCTCAGGGACCTCATCAGTTATACCAGTGCAGAAATGACAATTACATTCTCTCCTGGGGTGAAAGTAACTCCCAGCAGAGTTTCACTGGCAAAAGCTATAACAACTGGAGCAAGTTCTGATGTCCAGTAAACAATCTGTATTTGTTCTCTTTGTTACAAAATGATCCAGCCCACGGTACCCTTTGGGGTACATTTGGCAGCACTCCGAATGTTGATCACAATAATACATATTTTTTTCTCAGATGGTGTTTGATGATGAGCCAGCAGAGCCTGGGGCACTCAGTGTTTGTTCTCAAGCTAAAAGACACAGCATTCAGGGCTGAGTGTGAGAGATGCTCACCTTGTAGTCCCACACTAACAAGACCCTTTGTTGCCTTTCCACCTCTTTACTCTTTCCAACTTTGCCTCCCTCCTCTATCAGTGCTCTCCTACTTCACAAAGACATTGTGACTGCAACTAGAAACGTTTCTGACAAATACTACTGTTGGTTGCAGTTAACCACCTGGGTACAAGCGGTCTGTTTTTCCACAGCACACTTCCTATAACTAAGTACTTTGGGTCACAAACACGTGCTTCCTTTTTCCATTTTCGCTCATTTCTCTTCTTCCCTCATTTTGATTTTCACTGTCTTTACTCCACACGTTCCTCTCAGGTCTCCTTTCTTTCCTCTTCTAACCTCACGGCTCCTGGCCTTTCTGCACCACCTCCTCAGGCAGAGGCTGCCTTCCACACGTGTAGTAACTCTTTTCTGGAATGTGGCTCCTCCTTCCCCAAGGCTACGTTCTTTCTGCATAATCTCACACCCATAGATACTATCTCCATGATAAATTTCTTCTCTCATATCTCACTTCTAACTTGTGTGCTGGATTTGTTTGGGGTAGAGTTAATTTTCTTCATAGTAGCTCGTATGGTGCTATGCTTTGAATTTCAGATGAAAACAATGTAGATAACTGAGATGTTTTAATTGTGGCCAAGCAGTTCTTACACAGTCAAGACATTTTCTGTTTCTGAAACCGCCATGCCAGTGAGGAACAGGTGGCACAGAAGAAACTGTGAGGAGACAGCCACACAAATTGAATCTTGTTTCCTGCTGCTTCTTATCCTACGTTTCAGTGTCTGGCCTATATTCTCATGACTCTAGGTCATTCCCTCAGCACTGGAACAGAAAGCCTCCACACTGCTATTCTTTCCTTTCCCATTCTTCTAATTGAGGAGAGAAGCAATGATTTTCACTGTGCTATTTTTAAGTTTCTGTGATGGATTTAAATCCTCCTTCCCACCAGCATCGCTCCCTGTTAGGCATGTAAACTAGTTGCAGTCACTGAGGATGTACAGGTTTCAACCTGCAATGCAGCTCATGTGCTCCCTCATTGCTTCTGATGCCTCCTCTGCTAATGTCCGTGGGGCACACAGCAATATTCTGGTGAGCAATTAACCCTGGTGAGCAAATAACCCGGCATTAGTGAAAAATACCGGGGTGCATTTCAGCTCCAGGGCACACAGACACCTCCCTGCAGAGTAGACCCTGGGGCAAAATCCCCTTTGGGTGTGTGCATGGCCTTGCATCTTGGCACCAGCTCAGTTACCCATGTATCACTGATTTTCAGATAGTGCTTGAGAATATTTCATTGTCATAGACTTTGTTGAAAGAAGAAAAAAAAAGTGTGTGTCCACCCCTGAAGGTGTTCAAGGCCAGACTGGATGGGACCCTGGGCAGCCTGGTATCTGGTAGGTGACAGGCCTGCCCATGGCAGGGGGTTGGAGCTGTATGACCTTTAAAGTCCACTCTAACCTAAGCCATGGTATGATTCTGTGATATGATTCTATGCTAATTTACATGCAGTAAATTCAGTCAATAGGAGCTAACTGACAAATGCAATTTGTCTCATTGCCACTTCAGTTCCTGTGGCTCTTTCTGTGCTGGCTGGCAGAAGGTCCTGAGGGCTGTGTAGGCAAAAGACTCCCTCCAGCTGATCTCAAGATCTGGTGGGCTTTAATGGGTCTAGCCCTAGTGCCCCCTGGGACACATCTACCTAACGAGGTACCTAATACCTTCTCCGGGAGCATGAGCATAGGTAGGCATGGCCCAGTGAAGGTCAACATGCATATGCTGGTGGCTTGGCTACAGGTTTTTGGGTGGTAGTGGAAGGTGTCCTGTCAAGGTGTCTGTTCTGGCAAGTGGAGTGGTGTATGCCTGAGTGTGCAGGAGGTGAATATGTAGGAGAACAGACGTGCTGCAGGCAGCCCGTGCTCATGTGCACTGCTGGTCCCTATTGTTAAGCCAGCCTATATCAGGAAGGAGGATACCTTCTGAAGCCATTGCGCTTCTTTTGTGACCAATGTGCTGCTACCTGGAACTTTGTCACCAGCACTGCTTACACCTGGCTTCAGAAGGGAGGTCCTCCAGGGTGGGCAATAAATATACAAAATGAAAATGAAGTGCATACATGGGAACACCTGACAGTTTTTATCTCGTGCAGAGTGCTACAAGGCATGTAGAGCTACCTGCAGCTGAGCAGGGTGACCATGAAAGTGATTCTGCTCTTGAATTTGAATTTAATCCTCCTATGGGTGCGACAGCAACGAGCTAAACACATTCTCTAACATTTTCACACCCCAACTGTTTCAAAGCTTGCAGTGGGGCAGGGACTCCTGTTATGTGGTTATCTGGTCAGCTGCCTTGAAGGGGCTGGGGCTGAAAGATCTGCATGCAGTAGTGGTAGTTGGGGTTTGTGGTGTGACTTTTATCTCAGCACTGCTGTGATTACGTTTTAAAGGTACATTTTTGCTGCGTTTGCATTGACAGCATAATAACGGGGAGCTCTCCCCTGCAGACATAGCCCCCGAAGCTGCAAGGCATTCTTGCAGACAAAGGGAGAAACCAAACGGCGTGCTGCAAATTGCAAGGACGGATCTAACAGCGCAACCCAGGCTTGGGTTATCAGCAACACGGAGGTGGCTTAGGACGCCCATGCTGCTGCCTGCTTCCGTTTTGAAAATCTATCTTTCGAGTCTTTTCGGTCAGGCTTTGGTCACGTCCCCTCCGCAGCCGTCACAGCCCGTGCTCCGGATTAGCCCCGGCTCACAGCCGGAAAGCAGCGGCGGCGGGCGGGGTGCCCCGGGCGGGGGCTCGAGGCGCAGCCCGGCCAACGGCTCGCACCGCCGCCAGGAGGCCGCACGGGGGCGCTGCCGGCACGCGGCTCCCGCCCTGCAGGCCGGGTTCCCGCGCAGCGGCTGCTGAGGGGAGGGGCTGCGCCCAGAGCAGGGCGGCCTGCGGGAGAAGTAGTGCTCCTTGCTGCACCATCCGTAATGATAACTGAGTCTAGCCATGCTGACGACCCTGCTGAAATCAGAGCACTTAACTGATAAGCTTAAACGTGTGCTCACTCCTGATCGG